GTGGGTGCCGGGGCATGCTGGCCTGGACGGAAACGAACACGCCGACCAGCTGGCCGGCGAAGCGGCCGCTGCGGAGCAGCCGGACGTCCAGATCGACTTCGCCAGCGCCAGAAGCGCGATCGGGCGCCGGGTGGGGACGATGGTCGACGCGAGAACAAGAGCGTCCCACCCCCACCCGGCGCCCACACCGGGCCACAACGACCTGTCCCGCTGGGAGGCATGTACCCTCTCCCAGCTGCGGACGGGCGCATCGCCGCTCACGCGGGACGTCGCCCACCGCCTAGGCCTGGCGGTGGACGCGGCTTGCCCTGCGTGCGGCGAGCCGGACGGCGCGGCCCCCTGCTGACCGACTGTCCGGCCTACGAGGCTGCGCGGCGCCGCCGCTGGGGACTCAACCCGAGCCTGGGGGACGTCCTCGGCGGACCGGCGCCGTTGGTGATTGAATTCATCCGGGCTGTCGGGCGGACCGACCCTCCGGTCGACCCGCCTGCGCCGTCGTCCCCCTAGGGGGCGACGGGTGAGGTGCAAAAGAAGAAGAAGAAGGTGGCAGACAGCCTCCTGTCCGGCCCCGCTCCCCTGCCCGGCTCCCCTCCCCGCTCCCATCTCACCAGTGGAACACCCGGAGTGGCAGACAGCGCCCTGTCCGGCCTTGCTGCGCAGACAGCCGACGGTGGAGCGCAGACAGCCGGTCAGCTGTCCGGCAGACAGCCGTCCGTCCCCGCCCGCCGAGCAGAGGACTGTGGCTGCAGAGAGTCGGTGCGCACCGCTCCAGCGCAGCGAGACGTCCATGGCGGCTCCGTCCAGCTCCAGACTCGACTGGCGGCCTGAGGAGGGGAGGGGAGTCAGAAGGGACAGGAAGGCCGCTCCGTCCAGCTCCAGACTCGAGTGACCGCCTGAGAAAGGGGGGGGGTCAGGGAGACAAGAGGGGCGGCTCCGTCCAGCTCCAGACTCGAGTGACCGCCTGAGGAGGGGGGAGTCAAAAAGGGCCTTTCCGTCCAGCAGTCCAGACTCCAGACTCGACGGGTGGCCTGAAGGGGGCGAAGGAGTCAGAGAGGCCTGAATAAGCGCGTCTGGGAGCGGGACGGAAAACGGGCGCTGCTGGGACAGAACAGTTGAGAAGCCTCAGCACTATATGCCAGCGCCAGTACAATAAGGAAGCTATGACCATTCTGGCCTCTTCAACAGGAGCATAGTAGCGGAGCACGGGTGTTCAAACTGTTGCTCCAAGACTAGGTACCGCATGACACTGCCATCCAGTCAAGCATGGCACCTTAAATGCATAGATTGTAAATATGGAATGTTTCAGAACAAATCAGGAATCCAAATAAGGATTACATCGGCCACTGACGTAATACATTGAGTACGACGTACATCACTATTTTTAGACGCGCCGCAACACTGAGGCGGAAACTTGTTCAACACCTTTAATGCCGCTAATGAAGCTATTGAAGCCGATGGAACATGCTCTGACGCGGGCACAGGCACGTGAGAGTCGTGTATCCAATCTGATACCCCCGGACACACGAAAGCCTCACATAGTAACCTGTTCAGAACACTGATTTACAAAGGGAAAAGTCACCGGCTTAGCGAAGAGCACACACGCCAACCAGCAGAGACCGCACGAAAGAGGAACGCCTGACTCTGTCTCTTGTGATCGGTAATCCCTGCTGATCCCCAATTATCTAATTGTAACCGGTCATTGCATTTTGCAAACACTATGTGCTTCCTGCTCGTCTTGCCAAAAATGAGGTGGGGCTATATGCCCGTAACGAAATGACGAATGTCTCTGAAACAAGCTGTTTAGACATGCCCTGTGCAGAGTGAGCATGTTTCCAACTTCCAAGTATCCCTGTCATGACGAGCAAGCCTCACTTCACGTGCCTTTCACGTGTCTACTGTTAACCACACTGTTTGGTCCACGACGTGTTTCCGCGCTCGTTAAACTTCACCAGCGAACTGGTGTCATCGGTATCACCCAGCTCTCCCATATCCTACAGCGAGGAGGAGAGCGTCCCGCAGCTACCCGCGACTAGTGTCACAAACATCGCCCAGTCTGTCTACACTGAGCCGGCATCGGTATGAAGCTCTACCACCAGCCGATTGATGTAACCCCAGCCCGTCGACGTCGATAGGCCAGACGCCATAGCTGCTGCCCATTGTAAAAGAAAGGGCGCTGACGCAAGGTGGACGCGGTTTACTTTGCCAGGTGCACCGGTAGTGACGAAAAACTCCCCATGTTCGCACAATCGCGCGGACCATCGGCGCCTCACAGGCGGGCCGCGTCCCAAACTCGAGCGTGCCTCGTTCGCCGGCTGTAAATATGTATACAGGTGCTTAGCATACGAGTGGATCGGGCTCGAAGAATGGTTATAGCCGGCTGGTTGATATTCAATCGCTGCTGGCAGGTGCGCCGTCAATGGTGAGTTATGTAACGGAAGGCCAGCCCCAGTCCGTGCCAGTGCCGAAGGAACGGCTGAAGAAGGCCGAGGTACCGGCAATAGGCGAGTGTAACACTGAAACAGTTTTCCCCGAGCGCGGTTCACCGAAACCATACGGGTTCCGATCCACCGAATTTACACTGGATATTACAGCTGCCGTTGAGAAAAGTGGAAAAGATGGCGAAAATGTGATATAATTTTGAGGGTGAGAGCTAAAAAACGGTCTTGAACTTCATCAGCCCACACAATACTGTCATCGAAACCCATTAGCTCTAAAACTTACGTCACATTTTTACTTTACACTCATATATATATATATATATATATATATATATATATATAATATATATATATATATTATATATATATATATATATATATATATATATATATATATATATATATATATATATAATATATTAGATATATATATATATATATATATATATATATATATATATATATATATATATATATATATATATATATATATATATATATATATATATATAATATATATATATATATATAATATATATATATATATATATATATATATATATATATATATATATATATATATATATATATATATATATATATATTATATATATATATATATGAGTGTAAAGTAAAAATGTGACGTAAGTTTTAGAGCTAATGGGTTTCGATGACAGTATTGTGTGGGCTGATGAAGTTCAAGACCGTTTTTTAGCTCTCACCCTCAAAATTATATCACATTTTCGCCATCTTTTCCACATTTTCTCAACGGCAGCTGTAATATCCAGTGTAAAATTCGGTGGATCGGAACCCGTATGGTTTCGGTGAACCGCGCTCGGGGAAAACTGTTTCAGTGTTACACTCGCCTATTGCCGGTACCTCGGCCTTCTTCAGCCGTTCCTTTCGGCACTGGCACGGACTGGGGCTGGCCTTCCGTTACATAACTCACCATTGACGGCGCACCTGCCAGCAGCGATTGAATATCAACCAGCCGGCTATAACCATTCTTCGAGCCCGATCCACTCGTATGCTAAGCACCTGTATACATATTTACAGCCGGCGAACGAGGCACGCTCGAGTTTGGGACGCGGCCCGCCTGTGAGGCGCCGATGGTCCGCGCGATTGTGCGAACATGGGGAGTTTTTCGTCACTACCGGTGCACCTGGCAAAGTAAACCGCGACCCGCGTCCACCTTGCGTCAGCGCCCTTTCTTTTACAATGGGCAGCAGCTATGGCGTCTGGCCTATCGACGTCGACGGGCTGGGGTTACATCAATCGGCTGGTGGTAGAGCTTCATACCGATGCCGGCTCAGTGTAGACAGACTGGGCGATGTTTGTGACACTAGTCGCGGGTAGCTGCGGGACGCTCTCCTCCTCGCTGTAGGATATGGGAGAGCTGGGTGATACCGATGACACCAGTTCGCTGGTGAAGTTTAACGAGCGCGGAAACACGTCGTGGACCAAACACGTGTGGTTAACAGTAGACACGTGAAAGGCACGTGAAGTGAGGCTTGCTCGTCATGACAGGGATACTTGGAAGTTGGAACACATGCTCACTCTGCACAGGGCATGTCTAAACAGCTTGTTTTCAGAGACATTCGTCATTTCGTTACGGGCATATAGCCCCACCTCATTTTTGGCAAGACGAGCAGGAAGCACATAGTGTTTGCAAAATGCAATGACCGGTTACAATTAGATAATTGGGGATCAGCAGGGATTACCGATCACAAGAGACAGAGTCAGGCGTTCCTCTTTCGTGCGGTCTCTGCTGGTTGGCGTGTGTGCTCTTCGCTAAGCCGGTGACTTTTCCCTTTGTAAATCAGTGTTCTGAACAGGTTACTATGTGAGGCTTTCGTGTGTCCGGGGGTATCAGATTGGATACACGACTCTCACGTGCCTGTGCCCGCGTCAGAGCATGTTCCATCGGCTTCAATAGCTTCATTAGCGGCATTAAAGGTGTTGAACAAGTTTCCGCCTCAGTGTTGCGGCGCGTCTAAAAATAGTGATGTACGTCGTACTCAATGTATTAACGTCAGTGGCCGATGTAATCCTTATTTGGATTCCTGATTTGTTCTGAAACATTCCATATTTACAATCTATGCATTTAAGGTGCCATGCTTGACTGGATGGCAGTGTCATGCGGTACCTAGTCTTGGAGCAACAGTTTGAACACCCGTGCTCCGCTACTATGCTCCTGTTGAAGAGGCCAGAATGGTCATAGCTTCCTTATTGTACTGGCGCTGGCATATAGTGCTGAGGCTTCTCAACTGTGTTCTGTCCCAGCAGCGCCCGTTTTCCGTCCCGCTCCCAGACGCGCTCTTATTCAGGCCTCTCTGACTCCTTCGCCCCCTTCAGGCCACCCGTCGAGTCTGGAGTCTGGACTGCTGGACGGAAAGGCCCTTTTTGACTCCCCCCTCCTCAGGCGGTCACTCGAGTCTGGAGCTGGACGGAGCCGCCCCTCTTGTCTCCCCTGACCCCCGCCCCCTTTCTCAGGCGGTCACTCGAGTCTGGAGCTGGACGGAGCGGCCTTCCTGTCCCTTCTGACTCCCCCTCCCCTCCTCAGGCCGCCAGTCGAGTCTGGAGCTGGACGGAGCCGCCATGGACGTCTCGCTGCGCTGGAGCGGTGCGCACCGACTCTCTGCAGCCACAGTCCTCTGCTCGGCGGGCGGGGACGGACGGCTGTCTGCCGGACAGCTGACCGGCTGTCTGCGCTCCACCGTCGGCTGTCTGCGCAGCAAGGCCGGACAGGGCGCTGTCTGCCACTTCCGGGTGTTCCACTGGTGAGATGGGAGCGGGGAGGGGAGCCGGGCAGGGGAGCGGGGCCGGACAGGAGGCTGTCTGCCACCTTCTTCTTCTTCTTTTGCACCTCACCCGTCGCCCCCCTAGGGGGACGACGGCGCAGGCGGGTCGACCGGAGGGTCGGTCCGCCCGACAGCCCGGATGAATTCAATCACCAACGGCGCCGGTCCGCCGAGGACGTCCCCCAGGCTCGGGTTGAGTCCCCAGCGGCGGCGCCGCGCAGCCTCGTAGGCCGGACAGTCGGTCAGCAGGTGGGCCGCGCCGTCCGGCTCGCCGCACGCAGGGCAAGCCGCGTCCACCGCCAGGCCTAGGCGGTGGGCGACGTCCCGCGTGAGCGGCGATGCGCCCGTCCGCAGCTGGGAGAGGGTACATGCCTCCCAGCGGGACAGGTCGTTGTGGCCCGGTGTGGGCGCCGGGTGGGGGTGGGACGCTCTTGTTCTCGCGTCGACCATCGTCCCCACCCGGCGCCCGATCGCGCTTCTGGCGCTGGCGAAGTCGATCTGGACGTCCGGCTGCTCCGCAGCGGCCGCTTCGCCGGCCAGCTGGTCGGCGTGTTCGTTTCCGTCCAGGCCAGCATGCCCCGGCACCCACTGGAAGGTGACGGTGGTGCCACGCTCGCTGAGGGTGTGTAGGCACTCCCAGATGTCGGCGGCCAGGGCGGTCACCTGGCCGGCCGGTCCCCTCTGGAGCTGCTGCAGGCCGGACTTGGAGTCGGTTAAAAGGCGGACTGCGCGGACGGACTCCCGGTCTTCTTCAGGTAGAGAGGTTATCACAGCCAGTGCTTCCCTGATGGCGGTAAGCTCGGCACGCAGGCTGCTGCACACTGCGCCGGCCGGGGCCCTGATACGTTCCTCACGGCCAAGGCAGTGGAGCTGGATCAGCGCGCCCGCGCCGCCACATGTCGTCCCCTCTCTCGCCGACCCGTCCGACCAGATGGTGACGTCTGCGGGCGGCAGGAGCTCTATGGCCCGGAGCGCCGCCTCTCTGCGCTTGTCGGGGGGGTCTGTGCGACGCGTGGGCGCGGGCAGGTCCACCACAAAGTGGGCGGGGGTCCTCTCCACTGTCCAGGGCGGCCGGCACTGGTACAACGCCAGTGGTTCAGTCGGCAGCTGCTTTAGCCCGGCTTCGTCGGCGATCCACCGGCCCACCCGCCTGAGACACGGCTTCTTGGTGAGCACCGCGTCCTCGTCGGGCGGCTTCGGTGGCGGCCTCCGCGCCGCCTCTGCCTGCGTGCAGTCTCTCCGCCAGGCCAGGTGGGCTCGGTACTCCAGCCGGGGCCGCACCTCCTTCTCCAGGAGGGTCCTGGCAGGATCGAGTGCGGGGAGTCTGGCGAGGCGCTGGCACTCCTGTCCGGCCAGCTGCTTCGCGCGCAACGACAGTGGCGGGAGGTCGGCTTCGGCGAGCAGGGCGTCCGTGCGAGTCAGACGGATGCAGCCGGTGATGAGGCGAGCACACTTGTTCTGTTCGGCCTCCAGTCGCTCCCTGACGGACGGCGCTGCATGTGTGCCAACTACGGCGGCGCCGTAGTCAAACAGCGCTCGCACGTAGCCGATGTAGGCGGTCCGGAGAGTGCGACGGTGGCTGCCCCATGTCTTTCCTGCCATCGCCTGCAGACATCGTCGTCGTCGGGCCATCTTCGCCTTCAGATCGGAGACGTGTTCAGCAAAGGTCAGCTGCGGATCGAACTTGATGCCGAGGAAGGTCGGGTGTTCGGTGGCGGTGATCTCCTGTCCGTGGAGCTTCAGATTTGGCCGGACTCTTCCTCTCTGTTGTTTGGGGTCGAGCGAGAAGAGGGTGCTCGTGCACTTGGAGACGCTGGGCGTCACCTTCCACCGCGTCAGCCAAGCGCCGATGCTGTCCAGACACGGCTGGAGGTGGGCGTCGCACTCTTCCGGCGTGCGGGCGTCGGCCAGTAGCGCCACGTCGTCCGCGAACAGGGATCGCGACACGCCCTCCGGTAGGCCCTCGTCGATGTCATTGACGTAGATGAGCCATAGGAGGGGTGCCAAGACACTACCTTGCGGGAGGCCCTCCTTGAAGACACGCGAGTCCGACTGGGCAGCTCCCCATCGGACTCTAGCACGGCGGTCGGAGAGCAGGGCCTTGATCCAGCGGATCACACAGCCGGGGATGCCCAGTCGCGCCATCTTGCAGAAGAGGGCTGCCCTCCAGACCCGGTCATAGGCGCGGGCGAAGTCCAGGAGGACAAGCACGGCCCTGTGTGGTGGCTTCTGCTCGAAGGCGTCGAAGGTCTGCTGGGTAATCCGTCCGATCTGGTCCATCGTGGAGTGGCCGCGTCTGAAGCCCGCCTGGTTTCGGTTTAGTTTCCCGCTGGTTTCGAGCCAGTGCTGCAGCCTCCCCTGCACCAGCCGCTCCGCCAGCTTACTGGTGCTGCTCAGTAGGCTGATGGGGCGATAGGAGGACAGTTCCGACGGCGGCTTTCCCTTCTTCGGGATCGCCACTATCTCCGCTACCTTCCAGGAGGCAGGCACGTCGGCAGCGGACCACGTCCTGTTCAGGAGGTCCAGGAAGTGGCGCTTGCCGAGTGGGCTCAGCTGCTTCAGCAGGTCGTTGGCCACCTTGTCTGGCCCTGGGCTCTTGCCAGCTTTAATCTTGGTCAGCGCTGTTTCCAGTTCAGCCATGGAGAAGGGGCTGCACATGCCGGCTCGTGATCCGCCGCAGCTGCATCCCCTCACCGCGGCGCGCGCCTCCAGCTTGATAGGTCGGTCAGCCGTCTTGCCCGACGGGATGCGCGACACCGCGGCATAGGCCTGGCAGAGCGCGTTGGCCTTCTCCTTGTCTGTGGTCGCTGGCCGGGCAGGGGCGGGATGACCAGGCAGGGTCGGGCGTTGCAGGGGTTCGGCGGGCTTGGCCGGTGGCTTCCGGCCGTCCAGGGCGCGTATTAGGCCCCACATATCCTGGTTTGGTCCCAGTTCGGCGATCTTGTCCCTCAGGAAAGCAGTCTTCTCGTCCCTGATCACCCGTTCGGCTTCTCTCCTCGCTTCTCCGTAGGCGCGGATGTCCTCTGCAGTGCGGTCCTGGGCGGTGGCTCTCCTCCTGGCCGCGTCCCTGGCCTGGACTGCTGCGTCACAGGCTGAGTTCCAGAAGGGAGCTCTAGTCTTCCCGCCGTTCCCGTACGGGATCGCCTGCTTCGCTGCCCTGAGGATGGTCGAGGAGAAGCGTCGGTCCAGCTGCGTGACGGTGAGAGGTTCTGCCTGGGTAGCCCACCTTAGTGCCAGCTGGTCGTAGGCGCGTCGGAACTCCTCCCAGTTTGCCTTCCTGTAGGCTGGTCGGCCTCTGCCTCTTCTGACAGGTTTCGGTGGTGCGGTGGGGATGGTGATGGTGATCGGGAGGTGGTCGGACCCGATTCCTACGCTCGTCGTCCATGTTGCGTCGCTCGCCAGTTCACCAGACACCAGCGTCACGTCTGGGGCGGAGGATCCTCCTGTGGCAGGGTTCATCCTTGTCGCAGAGCCGTCGTTCAGGATCGTGAGCGACGTGTCGCAGCTCCACTCCTCGACGATTCTCCCGAGCGGGTCCTCCGGCTGGTGAGGGTCCCATGTTACGGCGTGCGCGTTCAGGTCCCCGCCCACGATTGTGTAGGGCACCAGGGGCAGACCGTCTGGCTGGAAGGACTGCGCCTGGGTGCCCTGTCCAGGAGCCCACCTCGCCGGCGGGACATAGACGTTCCAGACCGTAATCGCAGGCACGCCATGAGGGTGAATTTTGGTCGCCGCCACGTAGCTGAGCTGGTCCTCTTCCCGTGGTGTGTAGGCTGCCGGGTCGCGGGTGTAGGGCAGGTCCTCACGGACGAGGGTGATTACCCCGCCCTTGCCCCTTTGCCCCCCTCCGGTTCGACGTGGCGCACTCCTGCTGGGTGGCGCCGCTACTGGGCCTGGCGCGGGGGGCTGGGCCCTCTGGGTGCATCCACGCTTAGCTCTGCAGCCGGCGCACCACGTGTGGGGCGCGCGTCGATCCCGGCGCTTACAAGTCCAGCCGGCCGGTGGCGGCGGTGGCGACGGCGGCGGCGACGGCGGCGTTGGTGACGGAAGCGGCGGCGGTGCTTGGAAGTTCGGGGTGTCTCTTCTGGCCGCCACATTGTATCCCGGGAAGCGAGGGTCGTCGTCCTGTTGCATTAACTTGGTCTCTTGTAGTAGGACAACTTGAGGCTTGCTATCTGCCAGGCGTTTGTTGAGCTCAGTGAGGCGGGCGGCGAGGCCATTGCAGTTCAGCTGCAGTATCTTCAGTTCGCTCTGCTCGCCGCGGTTTTCGGACGCCTGCGTCCGCGGGTGTGTGGCTATGCGAGACTCGTCGCTCCTCATCGGTGGTGGAGACGGCTGACGTTCTTCGCTCCTCGCCGGTGTCGGTGGCGGCAGTGGTGAGTCACTCATCGCCAGTGGCGGTGGCGGCTGTGGGTCGTCCCTCCTCACCGGTGTCCGTGGCGGTTGCTGGGCATTCGTCGTCGGTGGTGGCGACGGTGGTGACTGAGTAGGTGTGGCCGAGGTCCGCGGTCTCGGGGGCGCGGGGGGCATCGCCGCGCATCCAGGGCAGGTCCAGGGACCCCGCTCCCTAGCGAGGCGGCTGATGTCGGCTCGTGTCAGGCCGGCGCAGCGGTGGTGATGCCATCGTTCACACGCGCGGCAACTCACCGACGTGTGGCCGACTCCTTTGCCGCACACTCCGCAGGGGTAGCGGGGCCCGGGGTTTTCTTCTATGTCGCCGGCCCGGAGAATCAGCGAGGCGAGGTGGGCCAGCCCGCGCCCCGCGACCGAAAACCCGCGGCCCCCCCTGGTCCGGTGTCCGGTCGTAGGTTGCCTTCTTCCTCCAGGCGATGTCCGGGCTGTAGGTGGGTGTCGGCGTACTTCGCTCTGTACTCCTGGTAGTCCAGTCGTCCAGAGGCACCACCCCCACTGTCTGCCACCTCCGGGTGTTCCATTGGTGAGGGGGAGCTGGGCCGAACAGGGGAGCGGGGCCGAACAGGGGGCTGTCTGCCACCTCCGGGTGTTCCACTGGTGAGAAGGGAGAGGGATCGGACAGGGGGCTGTCTGCCACCTCCGGGTATTTCATTGGTTAGATGATTACTCAATCCATCTTGAGCCCAGGGTGCTCCGCAGAACAGCCAGTAACGGGGAAGGGTTGAGGATGGGCATGTGAATGGCGGCTTAAATTGATGGACAGACAACGGAGTTGGTTGTCGTCTGCCTTCTGAGGCTTTTCTCGTCATCGTAGAAGCATCATAGATCTCGATGGCGTTTTTTGCATTTTTTTTTTGTCTGTTTGCCACTTTGAGCACTTGTTTCAGATCCACGATTATTGTTTTTATTCATTGTCGTGCGTGGTAACCCCTAACCTCCCCTTATGCACCCTGTGACCTTCTGCTAATATGGACCCTCTCGCCCCTAGCGTGGAGGACGGCGCGGCGGTGGCGGAGGCGTCGCTCTCGGTCCGCGGGCCGCTCTGCGTCGTGACGCCCGTGCCCGTGACGGCAGTGGGTGACGGCGTGACGCGCCGCGTGGCCGTCACGGCGCTGGCCATGGACGCCGCTCGGGAGAAGCGCGACTGACGACGGCCGGCGCCGAGCGGGTGGGAGTTCGGTGGGATCGCGAACTGATGAGACCGCATAATGCGGCGAACCAGAGCGCATATGCTGTGTTTGAGGCGCCGGGAATTGGCCGATGTAAGGCTGGTTGTCGAGACCAATGAATTTGGTTGAGACCAATGAATATGGTCGGTGATTTATTAGCTGTCGACTGCGTTTCTGAACGTGCCCAGATGTCTCTAGTGCGTGTTTGGAGTTGAGCTGTTACGGAATTGGTCGTGTGAAATGTTGGTATTTTTATACCTCTTTATTGCGTAGATGCTTGTGTGCGATGGACGTCACCTTATCAATCGAAGATCAGGGAATAAAACAGAGTTTGGACAATCAATCCCGTCGTTTATTCAGCCAATCGTCTCTTACATGTTATCAAACTCTCGACAATAATCATTGTTACATCGTCAATCACTACATAAAATAATCTCAAACTGCTATCAGCGCGTGATCAAATAAAACCGGGCGGGTGACTCGGGGGAGCACGGTTACTTGGTAGATATCCGGGCGCCGCGGCCCGTCCGCGACGGCTCCACCCGGGCGCGGCGCACGCGCAGCTGAGCGGGCGCCCGGTGACCCCTGCTCTATACACGTCACTCGGCGCATCACCGAGCCGAGAAAACCGACTGGTCACTACACTATAACAACGGACATCGCTCGCAGTAAAACTAGGCACTTCAGCGGCCGCGGCGGGCGCACTCCAGAGCAGAGACATGTGCACACAGGTATCTGCCACTTATTGCGTCCAGTTGTGACGTATTTAAACACACGCTAGCGACAGGCGGCGCAGGCACGCAGCTACACTTTACTGAACTTGAGGCCTGCGAACGAGAGGGGCGGGGAGCGTTAGTCAGTGTATGACGATCTAAGACACCATCTACGTAAAACTGCTTCTGTAAGATGTAAAACCACACTCAGGTAATTCACCGGAAAAAGTCCAGTCATGCAATCTTCTCTGACCCTGATGGTGGACATTCGTTTAAACGGCACTCATTTACAATATGACTGCTTCATTTGTTTCTGTAGCTTCTTCGTCATAAACGAATCTTCTTATTCTCACCATAAATTTATCCCATCATACAGGACAAGCTTCGCTCACCAAACCACGTCACATTTCACTTCCCCTTTACCGTCCCACCTACCCTTCTTCTTCCGTTTCTCCCTCTATCTCCAGTCGCTCCTTCCCTCTCCCCATCCACTCACCCTCGTCATTTGAGTAGCAGTCGTGACAGTGCAGTGTCCCCTCCCTCCCTCTCTCCATCCACTCACCCTCGTCATTTGAGTAGCAGTCGTGACAGTGCAGCTTGTTGTTCCGCACCCGCACGTCGGCGCCCATCGAGCCGTTACCCAGCTGCACGTTACAGACACAGCACTTGAAGCAGTTGATGTGGTAGAAGAGGCGCAGACTCTCGATAATCATGGCGGCGCCCCGACCTGACGGGAAGAGCGGCGGTGTCAGACGGAGAGAGCAGGAGAGAGGGAGCCGTCTGTGACGGGGCGGCGCGAACCGGACAGGGGCGCCTCAGGGGGGACAGTCAGCCGGCGGCTCACATCCGTCAACATACCACCGCAATGGCTAATGTTGGTGTAGCTGATGTACCATCCCTTCACGACACGTTAATTACTTCATAACAATGTCTCCCCAATCCTCATGCATCTTTCATAATTAACGACTCGATTAAGGGAAATGCAGTTTCATGACACAATGCCCGTGTTTACCAACACTCCCTTTCCCAGATAATCAATGCGTCATTACCGCTTCCATGGAGGGCAATTTCGCTCAGATTTCCTCCTACGAAGCACTTTCCTCTCCAGCAATCGCACCGAGCTCAAATATTACATAAACCGACATGGACAAACCCATATCTCCATGAATTACACATATAACCCAAGCATGTATGTTCCAGTGACACCAAGCTAAGCAGTATCTCTCCAATGGCGTCATACCGGCTAACAAACTGGGTCCCCAGTGCCGCCCCAGTGTGTACGTACCGAGCTCCTCGCCGCAGTGGGAGCACTTTTTCCGGCCACTAACGCTGAGCACGCGGTCCTCGGGGCTCTGGGCCGGCTCCGGCTGCGGTGACCGCATGTCAGGACTGTGGTACACCTGTGTGCCGTAGTTTGGCCTGCAATACAGTACAGCGCACCGGTTACAGCGCTGAATGGGGGGTGGTGGCAGTGCAGTGGGTATGAGAGATAATCGTATTGAACCAGAGCTGGTCCGTGATAGACCAATACGACTAGATGCTATAGCCTGCATACAGCGTGAGCATAGAAATTCTGCGCTTGGTGAGATATTAAATCACCTTTCAGTCATAGCCGCAAACAGAGTACGTTCCAGGGAAATGTCATAACTTCACAGCGCTCACTCTAAATAGGTTAGGTTAGGCTAGGTTAGGTTGGAATGTCATGCATAACAACAGTAGCTACATGATTCCACCCAGAACAGCCAGCAGAGAGTCAGAGACAGAGCCGCCCTGTGGGCTCCCCGGCCTGAGGTCTGCGGTGAGACCGGCCAGCCCTGTAGGGTCCCCTGAGGTGGGCAGTGAGACCGGCCAGCCCTGTAGGGTCCCCTGAGGTGGGCAGTGAGAGACTGCCCCACCCTGTGAGCTCCCCTGAGGTCGGCAGTTAGACCGGTCCGCCCTGTAGGTAGGGTCCCCTGGGGTCGGCAGTGAGACCGCCCCGCCCTGTAGGGTCCCCTGAGGTGGGCAGTGAGACCGGTCCGCCCTGTAGGGTTCCCTGATGTCGGCAGTAAGACGGCCCCGCCCTGTGGGCTCCCCTGAGGTGGGCAGTGAGACCCTGTGAGCTCGCCGGCCTGCGGTCGGCCGCCCGCCGCTCACCGGACCGTGCTGATGTCCTGGTAGTTGTTGCTATTGAGTTGCGCCGGCGTGTTCTCGTAGATGGGCTGCTGGGTGTAGTAGGCGGGGTACTGCTGCGGCACTGGGTGCTGGTGGTGCTGCGCTGGGTGCTGCGCCAGGTGCTGCGCGGGGTGCTGCGCCGGGTGCTGAGCGGGGTGCTGAGCCGGGTGCTGGACTGGCGCCGGCGCCCGCGGTGCCTGGTAGGGCGCCGGTGGATGGTGCTTCTGCCGGGAGGAGCGCTCTTGCTGCTCACTGATCCTCCGCTGCTCAGCCTCCTGGGGAAGATTGAATGAACTTAGCCTCATGGCTCATACAGTATCCAACAACGACCAATACAGGACCAGAACGTGCGGTCAGCTCGCCGATTTCTCGTAAAATCCGACCCCGGCGGCCGGCCTAATTCAATATACCCTGGATCCCGGCCCCCCTCAGCAGCCGCCGGCCGGTTCTCACCTGGATCCCGGCCCTCTCAGCGGCCGCCGGCCGATTCTCACCTGGATCAGCCAGTGCTGGTCGGTGTTGCGCGGCGCGTCGGCCCGTTTGCGCAGCATCCACTCCTGCCGCAGGTTGGAGCGCGGCGCCGCCGACAGCGCGTGCAGCGTGGTGCGGGTCATCTGGCCGGGACCGCCGTCCGTGGGTGAGGGGCTCGGCTGCGGGTGCTGGGACCGCGCGCTGGATGGCCGCGGCGCCCGCACCTCCTGCTCGACTCGCTGCGGCTTGGCCGGCGCCGGGGCGGGGCCGGGGCGGGGGCCGGCGCCGGGGCGCCATGGGCCGGGTGTCCGCCGGGCCGGGCCGGCCGGCGCGCGGTCGGCGCCGGCGCCGGCTCCGTGTCGTACAGCCGGCCGTGGCTGCGGCTCTGCTGCAGCGGGCCGCCGCCGGCCGGCGCCTGCAGGTCGCCGTGACTGCGGGACGGCACCAGCGCGCTCGGACCGGGCGCCTCGTGCAGCAGGTTGGGGTTGGAGCGCGCCTGGTGCCGACTGGCCAGCAGGTCGGACTGAGCGCCCGGGCCGCCGCCCGGCGGACACTCCTGGGTGCGCTGCCACTGCTGGTCTGAGGCCTGGCGGCGCGCCAGTCGGGACTCTGCGGCAGACGGACAGACGGCACCGTCAGTAGACGGACAGACGGCAGCGTCAGTAGACGGACAGACGGCACCGTCAGTAGACGGACAGACGGCACCGTCAGCAGACGGACAGACGGCACCGTCAGTAGACGGACAGACGGCACCGTCAGCAGACGGACAGACGGCACCGTCAGCAGACGGACAGACGGCACCGTCAGTAGACGGACAGACGGCACCGTCAGCAGACGGACAGACGGCAGCGTCAGTAGACGGACAGACGGCACCGTCAGTAGACGGACAGACGGCACCGTCAGCAGACGGACAGACGGCAGCGTCAGCAGACGGACACGTCCCGCGGCAGACCGTGAGACAGCTCGTGTCCGAGCACAGACAGAGGCCTACTCGTGGATAACGTATCAACAAGGGATTACTAACTGCTCACCCGCATCAGCAGAGAACAATCACCCTCAGTCAAGCGGCCTAGGACTTCACTTTACAACCTTGAATGAGACGATACACACACTTGAGTACGTTACTATCAACGAATTAAATACAGCACGGATGCGATACGATAGCACATATGACTAACACCACCCCTTTAAAGTCACGCTATCAGTGGCACAAGTGCACCTCCAAGTCCGGAGGTGTCATAAGTACCGACTATCGGTCACACCTGACCATGGCGAGGTCACCCGCCCAATCCCATCCCAACCCGCCCTGCCCTGCCCTATCTGCCATTTCGCGGTATCACATCTACTAGTCACTTCCAACCCCATCCCACCCACCCCCGCCCTGCCCCGCCATATCGACTCACTCGCGGTATCTCCTCTGCCCGCCAGTGGTTAGCCCTCAGTCCCCCCGCCCGCACTATTAGCGTTACCCACTCACGGTATCTCATCTGTTGGCTGTGCCTCCAGTTCTCCTCCTTCTCCAGGCTCTCCATTATCTCGCGCTCCTGACGGTCCACCTCCTCCTCGGAGAGGCGCTCCTTGCGGCGGCGCCACTCGCGCTCCTGGTCGGACAGCGACTCCTGCGCCCACCGCTCCTGAGCCGGAGCAGGAGCCGGAGCGCTCCGCCGCCGCCACTCCTGCTCCCGCTCCTCCTGGGCGCGCCGCTCCTGCTGCAGCCGCTCCTGCTCCTTCTGCAGACGCTCCTGCTCCTGCTGCCGCTCCTGTTCCTGTTTCTGCCGCTGCTGCTCGGCCAGTCGCTCATGCTCCTGCTGCTGCCGCTGTCGCTCCTGCTCCTGGAGCCGCTCCTGCTCCTGCTGCAGCTCCAGGGCGCGGCGCTCCTGCGCGCGCTGCTCCTTCTCCTGCTGAGCGCGGCGGCGGAACTCCTCTGCACGGGTCTCAGCCTCCTCCTCGGCCTGGCGCAGCGACTCCTGGCGCGCCTGCTCGCGCCGGCGCGCCGTCTCCTGCGCCTGCCGGCGGCGCTCCTGCTCCTGCTGGGCGGCGCGCTCCTGGCGCAGCAGCGACTCCATGTCGGGCGGCCGGGCCACCGTCGGCACCGGCTCTGTGGGCGAGGGGAGTGGGTGTCAGATGGAATCAGGTGATCCAAGATGGGGACGGCTTGTCAGAACCGAAGAGGACAAAGCTCGCAGAAGGGCAAAAATGGATTGAAACGGGAAGATAATATTTATTTGCGCAAAGACCACATAAATAAACTAAAATTGCAGTGCTTTCACCACACGATTGGGCATAATAATAAAGGTCTAAATAATGAGGTAATACTTCCTTGGAGGATTGCTTATTAAATCACAATGCAGCCATTGGCGGAGCTAATTATATACAATTACTGCATCCGAATGGCGAGAAGTGGCTGACGTCACTGATTGAGTGGTCACTTGCTAGGTAGTCGGAGAACAAGATTGAATGTAATACCTCTCGGCGATTAACATAAACGAGAGGCACCTGTCCTGCACGGTCGGTGAATCGGCGGCTGTTGGCAGATCCACTGGCCAATGAACTCGAACGCTGTGTGGTTTGTTGGTCGCCACGAGGCAGTTTAACCCTCGCCCGTATTGGTGTTTTTCCAGCCGCGAACGTATAAGGGGGGGGGGGGTCCGTTGGACCCCCCCCTTGCCGTTTCGCCCCTGATCGAGCTAGAGCTTCGCGGAAAAAACGAGCGTGTTGCCCGTGACGAGAGGAAGCCGATGATACCTAATTTTAAGGTCCTAGGTCATTGGTTGACCTTGCAGGTCAGGTCAATGATCCAAAAGTCGGAAAATCGGGACCTGTTAGAACGTCGTAAAGTGTGGCTGCTATGGGGTTTTTTCGGGGCGCTGATCATGAATATCATGTTAGTTTTGATCACAGATGATGTCTTTATGCATTTAGTCCAGGTCGGGTCAGGTCAGGTCAGGTCAACCAGTAGTGGTCCTGCCGGGTATTTGTAGTAGGTGTCAACCGCCTCTGACAGCCTCGTAACATGCTACGAAGGCACCAAGACTACTTCGTAAATGTTCATATGGTTGCTAAATTCGAATTCAGCTCCAAAAACTGGCCAAGAAACATGTGAAACTCGAAAAAGTGAACCGAGGTCACCAAAGGTCAATGACCTGACCTGACCTTCAGGTGACCTTGACATCCACCCTAATGCATGGGGGCAACATCATATCACATGTAAGAACGCTTGAAACCACGAAAAGACTGCAAACGCGCGGCTAATGCGAGCCGACATACGCCGAATCGCGATTCCGGCCAAACATGGTCTCGAAAAGTAGGTCACAGGTCAAAGGTCATTGGGGTCAGGGTCATTAAATTTTCAGGGTAGGTGTAAAATTGATTAACGCGAGGGTACTGAAAGTTTCGTCGCGATCGGCCGCTTTTTACGCGAGTTATTCGCGAAACACCATGGGGGGGGGGGTCCGTTCGACCCCCTCCCCTATACGGGCGAGGGTTAAAACAGGGTACCAAGCGAGCGACTGGCTTGGCATAGGCTCGACGTGAGCTACTGATATTGTAAGCCCACCTCCTACAGCTAACACTGGTACAGAGGGTGGAAAAACCAGCGCTGCGCAGCTGCTACCTACAACCAGTGGCGTGTAACCGATTCAATCCGACCACTGGTGGATGCATCCACAGCACTCACTGGTGTGTACCAATGACATCACGCCAGCGCGGCGGCGTACTACGGGTTAAAGCCCGATAGCGTGTGTAGGGAACGCCTGTGGCCCGACCAAGCCCCTGTCTACAGCTGCGCCGTGTAACACGGGGTCGCGCGCTGCTACCCACCTTGTTCGGCGCTGCCCTGGATGCCAAGGAAGTCGGAGCGGCGGCGGTACAGGTCCTTCTTCACGGAGCTCGTCGACTTGACCGGTCGAATCTCCTGAAACAGAACCGGGCTGAGTGAGAAAAGGGTCCAACAAACATCACATACACATCGTACGCGCGATGGCGACCCGTACCACTGCTCACCGATCTGTAGTTACAACTCAGTTCAGCTACCGACATCGTGTAGCTCCCGATCACTGGCCAACAAACCCCGCTCCACAGCGCACCAGTCACGCCGGGCACACACTCAGCCAGCCTCGCCCGGCGGCGGACCGGTCGGACCCGAGGAGGGGACGGGGTGCCTGCTGACCGGGACATGAAGCCGCACAGTGGCTGCCAGTCCGCTGACAGCAGTCATGTAATCTGGTTACTGACAAGGCCGCCGCTGACATGGCGTGTGTCGATCGAGCCGTGGTATGTCGACGGCCGTCCATCCGTCCATCAGTTTCCCTCTTTGTGACCGCTAATGTCACTATCAAACACAATGACAGCTCTTCGTGAGAAAACGCAGACCGATAGCGTGCCAGTTAGGCTAAAAAGACTGAAGCGTCAAGGAACGTCAGGCATTTGACCGCAGAATTCCATCCCGTGTCGATGTTGAACAGTTTCCGCACGGCAAAAACAAAGAGCTGCTATGGACAGCTTCATATGGCCCCCGAGTCCGGGTCATCACTTTAACCGCACTATGATGGGTAACAATGCCAGGGAGGAGCCTTTCCTCGCGCAGGACAATGGGCACTCAGCCCCCGGCCGCACCTGCGTATGTCGCGCGGAGCAGGCACGGTATGACACGGTAAAGCTGCGGTACAGCGGGAGTGCCGACCGAAGGGTCACTGCACCGCAGTCGGGACGTGCCCTCTCACCGTACACTATAACGGAACCACACACACCAAAACGTTAGTTCGGGGTTCCGAGGAAATACTGCCCGTCGGCGCGCCGAGTGACCGACCTACGCACGGTAAGAGAGTGGAGTGGGCCTACGCAGCTCACGGGAAGTAGTCCCCTGCCCAAAAAACAAGTGGCGAATGACAGCTCTTGTATAACCCGTGGTCAGTCACACCGTCTCGCCACATTTCTAACGGATCGCCAGCCTCCGCGGTACATCGACTCTCAGTGGGAGCCGATGTAGCGTGAAGCTGGTCTACGCTGACCGCTGCAACTCCCCTCCCTGGGGACATGTCGCCACTGCACTGTCTGCCACCTCCTCACCCTCCGCCGCCCCCAGCCGGGCGCGCACGTAAACCGTCCCTCCCAGCTGAGCGCCCGTCCCTCTCACACTGCCACCCAGCCGAGCGCACACGTAAACCGCCCCTCCCCAGCTGAGCGCACATCCTTCCCCACCACCTCCAGTCGAGCACACACGTAAACCGCCCCTCCCCAGCTGAGCGCTGTCCCTCCCCCACTGCCACCCAGCCGAGCACACACGTTAACCACCCCTCCGTTGCTCGCCGGGTCGCCCTGACTCCCTAGCCAAGCGGTCCGCTGTGTACGCTGTATGTACCAGCGCACCGCGAACGTACCACGGGCTTCCTCTCACAGCCCCCAGCCGAGCGCTCAGGTACCCCTGCTCCATTTCCAGCCTCGCGCTGACGTACCACGGGCTCGTCGTCGTCCTCTGGTGGCGGCGGCGGAGGCTTCTCACTGGGCGGGGCCGCCGCGGACGGCTGCAGCGGAAAGTCGAGCACCACCGGCACATCAGCGACCATCTGTCAACAGAGGGATACTCGTTAGTCATCGCTCGGCGACGGATGAAGGGAGGCGAGGCTGGGCGCACTTACCGGTGATATACGCGCCCTGTGCCCGCCATTAAACGAGCCAGATTTACGGGAGAATTATGGGGTGCCACACAGAAAGCTTCATACCTACTAATTTATCAACGGTTGTCGTAAATAACCAGCAAGGACGTGAAGTACACAGTTCGCATGATTCATGTACATCTACTAGCTTTGATTTAGGTGACACGTGCGCAGTCAACCGGGGTTAACTACTGCCAAAAATACGATCTATGCTACGCCTTGCAGCACCTCAGCATTCACGCAAAGTGACTAATTAATGCGTTCGCTGCTCACGCATAAAGATCAAGCTGTTCATCTAGCTGAAAGAGCCGACAGCTTGCGACGAATCGGTGATTGAGTCACTGCAGTTGCCACACTTGCTAACTCAAGACTCAAGAGAGATATTTTCTTCACTGAATTAACTGCTAACAGACTGTCCCCCCCCCGACTCCCACCTGGGGGTGACGTCATTACTGACACCCACCCCCGCTTAACCAGGACCACTCTGGACCCGTTAGCTCACCCGGGGGATCGCTCTGGACCTGCTAGCTCACCTGGGACCGCTCGCTCTCCTCCAGTTGACGGAGGATCTGGGCCTCCATCTCGTCCACGGCTGTCGCCGGATCCTCCCACGACGGAACCGCCGACTCCTGCTCCTTCGCCGGAGGGGCCTCCTGGGCCGGCTCCTCCTCAGCCGCCGGGCCCGGAGCCGGAGCCGGGGCCGGAGCCGGAGCTGGCTCAGACATGGCGCTGCGTGTGGCCGGAGCCGGAGCCGCCACCGGAGCGGGCGCCGCCGCGGGAGCCGAGTAGGGCGCCGGAGCGGAGCCCACGGCGGCCACGGGCGCCCAGCCGGCCGGTTTGCTCGCACTGGTCTCGGGGCCGGCGGCGGGCGCAGCCTGCAGGAGGCACGGGTCACGTGAGAGGCGGAGCGCCGCCGGCCGCCGGCGTAAATAAACAGCCCCACCTGCACGGCAACTCCCCCCCCCCCCCCGGCTGATGACGAGCCGAGCGCCGCTGCTGATAAATGACCAACAGACGGCATCGGCGAGTGAACCACCAGCCGGTAACTCTGCACTCAATCAATTACCGTAAACAGAACGGACATCACAAACGTACAAACGCAAGGCAAGGCTTCATATTCAATACTGCAATAAAAATGGACCTGTCTGCTTCATTTGATGAAGTCACATTCCAGGTGTAGGTAACACATTAAACCAATAATGAACGTTACGCGGAATCGCAATCCTGCAACACCATTTCAGCGTCACGACATTCGCCATATGATCACGCCTGTTGATATCGTTCAGGGTTAGTAAGTACATGCGTGATTAGTAGGAGCGTTGGATTAGTGTTAATCATTCAGGGGATTAGTGCATGCCACCAGCTACGCTACTGCGCGCCATCCTAAGCCCCAGCCCACGATCGCCATTCACTTTGGCAGGGAACAGCGATTCGTTAGTCGAAGGCCATGTCCCTAATCCCAATTAGCGCGTGCAAGCTGTACTCGTATCTGTTCAGCCAGCAGCCTCCGGCCGGGCGGGCGGCTCATCTGACACCAGTTAGTGCACTGCAGCGCTCTGCCCATCGGCGCTAGTTAGACCGCCAATAAACAGAGACGACCGACCGGGCCGTTATCTGTCGCCGGCGGAGGGCATACCTCGGACGGAGTGACGTCATCGTGACGTCACATAGCGCTGCGGCGGGGCGGGGCCGGAGGGACCAGCCAGTGAGCCGGTACGCGGGGTCTCGCGGGGGTGAACCATGTCACTCACTGCTGTCGTGGACGACTTACGGTCCCGAGTAGGTGAGGTGCCCTCGACTGTACCGGCACGTGATCGACCCCACCCGGCAGACAGGAGACCCGAGCACCCAGCCGCGCCGCTGTCCTACTGACTGCCTGACGGTACTATCACTGCCTCTGCACAGATGCTATCACACCCCGCGCAGGCTGCAACCGTCCTATCATAATCGTGTCTACCAGAACCGTCTTTATCGGAGTTCTGTCAAAGCTGCCATCCCGACAGCATCCTTATCCGCGGCGCGAGGCGTGTTGGACGCTGTTTTCGGCGGCGCATCGGCTGCAGCACGACTCTCAGATAAAACATCGCCAGAAATCCTACCGATACCACTCCCCCCGCGGCCCGCGCGTGACGGGATTGAGCACGATCTCACACCGACCGGGGGGGGGAAGTGGGGTGGGGTGTCAGGGCGCTAATAAGACAACCTAATTAGCCACAAATGGGCTACCCGTGCGGCACGCCCGTGAAGATTACGCGGCACGCAATGTCTCCATCGGCATCCGAAAAGCGGGGTTTGGATGTCACAAAATGACCGGGAGGCAGATAAAAATAGAAAAATAACATAAACGCCGCTTTGATTGTGTGATAACAGTGCTGTGGGGTTGCAAAACGAGACGATGATTATGAAATTATTGAGGATTGCAATAATGCATTGGCTGAAGGTTGCTAAAAATGAGCATCTCTTTTGCACTTTTCATATCTGATTGGCTGAAGACCTACACTCTACAGCAATTATGTAATTACATCCGACCTGCGCACGGTGTTGAGTGTGGAACTCGCGGCCCCTCCACCACCTGGTCGAACAGCCGGTACATGTTGGCTGTGTGGACGGGCCGACGGACGGTGGCGCGCTCCATCACCTCCTCCACCTCGGCGGCCGCCGGGCGGCTCTCTCGGTTAGTACGGGCGGCATGCTGTGAGTGCGCAGCGGGGGCGGGGCGGGGGCGGGGGCGGCCGGCACGCTGCTCCTCACCAAAGGCACGGGCGCCGCGCGCGCCGGCTCGGCCGCCGGGCTCGCACTGTGCCCGTTGGTCAGCGGCGCCGGGGTCGGCTCCCAGGACTCCGGCTCGGGCTCCAGCTCGGGCTCCGGACTGGCGGCCGGGGCCGGCTCCGGCTCGGCGGGCCGCTCCACGGCGGCGGCCGGCGGCACGGCCGACACCACCTTGGGCGGCTGTCGGGCGGCCGTCTCCAGGGAGCGGGTCTCCGTCTCGGCGCCCTCCGGCCGCCGGTCAGCGTCCAGAGAGCGGCGCGCGTCCAGCGAGGCGTGTCGCCAGTGGCCGCCCTCCGGCTCGCTGGGCCGCTCCAGCGAGCTGCGCGGCCGCTCGGCCGGCTCGGCAGCCTGCTCTGAGGCCATCCGCTCGAACCGCGAGCGCAGGTCCGAGGCGCTCTTCTGACGCGGGATCTCGACCGGGCCGCGCCGGTCGGCCGTGGCCTCGCGACTGTTCTCCAGTGTTGAACATGGCCAGCTTCTGTCGGAACTGGTCGCCCTTGCCGCCCTGCGGCCGCCAGCGCGCCTCGTCGCCGCCGGCGCCGCTCACTGTCTCCAGAGAGGCGATCCGGTGGCGCAGGCCGTCACTCAGATCCATCGACTTGCGCTGCTGGCGGCGCTGCGCGAGCGGCGAGCGCTCCTCGCTGCCGCTGCGCTGCTCGAACATCGAGCGACGCTTCAGCACGTCCACCTTGGCCTTCTTCTCTCGCAGCACCACCGACGGGCGTCCCGTCTTCACGGGCCAGCAGCCGGCGCGGCCGGTGTGTACGAGGCCGGGCGCACCTCGGACTTCTCCATGGGTGAAGCGGCGCGCGGACTGGGCTCGCGGCGCCGAGACGAGTCGACGGGCGACAGGGACGGCGAGGGCGTCTCGGGCGGCGGCAGGCGGGCCGTGGCCGCCGTCTTCTCGGCGAACTTCATGTAGCCCTGGATGGCCGACTCGTAGGTGAACTCTTCAGTGCCGCTGTCGTGGCCGTTCGGTTCGCCCGAGGTGGGCGAAGCAGCGCACTTGTCCGGCTCCTGTGGTGGCCAGACCGGACGGGGTCGGTTAGTCGGGGCGGGACGCGGCGCCGTCCCAGGGCGCGGTCACACAGGCACGAGACTACGCAAAATGGCAGCAAAACACACCGACCAAAACTCCACAAAAAGGGCTCAAAGTGGCTACACAAAAAGTTGCTACGATATACTCTAGTCCTGTTGAAGTTTTAGAGGGTTAGTGAAAAACATTAGTAACGCCACCATGAGAACAGAACATCATGAAGACCAACAATCCGACGTGGCTCTTAGCCGCTCGGTCACACACATACAGACATTCATGGTGACTGGAGGAATTCACACCACGACACAGCCCAACACAGCTCCCACCCCGTTCGGCGTTCGCACACTCAAAACGATCTCGTCACTCCACTTAAACTCCATCCACTCAACTCAGTCACACTCACTCCCACTCCTCTCAGTTCCGCCACACTGCTGAGGCCCTCGAATGCCAGACACGTTCTGCGAGCCTCTAGGGTGGCGCTGGGGCCAGTCCCGGCCCCGTGGCGAACAAAAACCCGACCCGACCGCGCCCTCCCCACCTGTCGCCGGCGCCCGCTCGGTGCTCGGTGTTCTGCCCGTGTTCTGTGTGTTCTGACTGACAGCCTGAGGGGACTGTCAGCCGGCGGCGGCCCGGCAGCACCTCCCAGCACCCCAGTGATTGGCTGACCTCTAACCGAGGCGTGCCCGCGCGTGAAGATCAGGTGCTGCGGTGGGTTCCGAGGGATACAGAGAGCCAATCGTACACAGCCCAGAGAGTTCTGTTTATGAGGTGAAGGGAGGAAAATATAGTGAGGACACGATAGACGTAACGTAATGCAGCTGAGTAGAATTTTTCGAAAACAGACATGCATGTAAGTTCCTTTACGCATGATGAGCGTATAAAGCTCAGAATTTCCCTGGCGATGTGTCCAGCATGGGTCTAATTCCGCGGCGAGCGTGGCCACCTGGTACCGCCTGCCGTCGGCAGCAGAGGGCCGGCCACTTCACCGCCGGAACACACCGCGTGTCACGATCGGCCGGCAAAGTAAAAACGGGCGGCTTAGCGCCGGCTTACAAACCAGTGGGGCTCCTCGGCACGCTTCTGCCGATCGACCGGCGTGTTCTACAGCGTCCGACAGCAGTTCGGAGGACAAATGTCGCCTCGGAATGGTAATCCCCACGTAACCAGCACGCTTCGAGGTGGCGTATGGCGCGAAATGGAGAAAAAAGAGCCCAAATGACGGAGGGGATAAACGTCGAGGATGACCACTTCTGTGAAACGGTGCTCAATCGGCCCAGTAAAAATGTCACCAAACGTAGTTTAGCTAAAGGAAATAACGTAACACAAATTGCCCGACCCAGAACTTCCGCAAATTCAAGAGACTCACAAAGGACTATGTTGGTTGACAGGCACTATTCAGAAGAACCGTAAACGTGAATTTAATTAGCAGCTAAGCGATAAACAGCAATAGCCACTAAAAGTGGCGGCTGCGGTAAATCCAGTTTTTCCACAATGACATTTGGTTAAGTGGGCTCATCGACTCGACAGATACGAGCGTGACAGTGGCTGGGAGACG